AGTGCAGTGTTTGTGGTGAAATATAAATGCCAACAATCAACTTAAAATCGTGAAAAAAAGAAAAAAAAAACCTGATTGAACCCCTCATAAGTTACTTAAGGCCCAATTTTAAATTAAAAAAAAAAAAGAAAAAAAGATTTTTCGACAATCATTTATCGGTACCCTAACTTGAGCAGGTTTTATCAGGATTTCCCACGGGAGTTGAATTTCAACATTTTAAAACATATTACCCACCTTTACAAACATATTGGTGAAAAAATTGTTTGGTAACGATTTAGTTGGCAGATATTCATGTGTTTTCCTTACTAACATTGATTACTGGTAATTGAGAAAGGTTGATAACCTTTAAAGTTAATAAATATACTCAATAAAAGTTAGAAAGATAAAGTTAGAAAGATAAACTTTAAAAGTTATTTATTAACAGAATGTGATAGCCAGGAATGGTCATTGATAACTAGGTTTGTTCATTCATAAGGACTACCATTTCACAATTTATACAAATCTTATTATAGCATGTGATTGCAGGAAACATGTCATTCATAACAAGACCACTTCATTAGAAAGATTACTAGTACTGAATTAGAATATACATTAAATGTTATATTAACAGTATGTCATAGCAGGAAATGTTATTCACAACTAGGCTTCTTCATTAAAAATTATTAATATAACTGAATATGTATTATAGAAATAGGAGTGATACGATTTAATGCAGCCCTATTTACTGTGAGATCGACTAACTGAGATCAATAACAGTTTGTTTCTTGCAGTTGCATATGCTGTTCTTCCATTTCGTTCATTTTTTTCTATTCTATAACTTTTCACTAAGGCCCAGATCTTAAAGCATGAATAGTTATTGTTTTTTCAGACATTGTGTAGAGGTAATCTGTGGCTGCCTCCCAACTGATTTGTGGAGATGGTCGTGCGTCTTGTTCAATTTTTGCTGGTTGTGTCTCTGCTGGAGAGACGTGTCTGTCAGTTAGAGTAAAATGTTAAAGTTCAACTGACTTTGGAAAGATCTTACAGGTACTTCAGACAGCATTATTATTCTTGTATATAATATATGTTATATTGATTTAAAAAAAAAAAAAGAAAAAAAAAAGAAAGGTGAGCTTTTACAGGATTGAATTTCCCTTCTGGGATGAATAAAGTATTTTTCATTTCATTTCATTCATTTCATTTCATTCATTTCATTAGCTACAGGCTAAGAGGCACAGCAAATCTCAAGCAATAGCACCGCTGGCAAAAGAAGTTCCAGCTGCAGCACTTGGTAACACCTACAACTGAAGCATTGGGATCTTTTTTGTGTACCAGGCACACTCTGAGTACTTGTGGAACACTGCAGCATTTACTAAACGTTCAGCGAAGTCTGCTACCTCGTCTTTGAAACAGCCCTGGTAATTCACTGGAGCTTCTCCGCTCTTTGTGTCAATGGCTGTGATTTCAAAAAAAACAAAAAAACAAGTTCAGGGCACCCCTATAGCTCACCTAGTTGAGCAGGCGACCTATGAACAGGGGCTATATTTCCCCGACGCAGCAGTCGTGAGTTTGAATCCCGCTCATGACCCTTTGCTGCAGGTCTCTCCCCCTTTCCTATCCATCTCTACTGCTCTAAATAAAGGATATGGGGATATGTGTATATATATATACATATATATATATATCTTTTATTTACAAAAAGAAATCAGTTCAAATACAACTGACATTGCCAGTCTATCACCATGGTAACAGTGCTCACACAATAGGAAAGAGTTTTCTGTGAAAAAAAAAAAAAAAACCCTAAACAAACCAGGAAGTGAAAAACACAGGAGTGTTGTTACCACTAAACTTTCTCCTAATTGCTTGAAACTGTACCATATCATGCACAGAGCCACTCAGTAGGTGGCATGTTTAAAAATGTCAGAAGTGAATGACATTTGATTTAGATGCATTTTAAAGCAACTGAGGTCCAAAGCATGTTCTGGAGGTTATTTTTCTCTCTTTTAAGAAGCTTCACAAGTTTGTGGACGCTGACTGCAGAAATGAAACATTTATTAAAATTAAACACAGGCATTTAAACAAGTTGGACATTATGAGTAAGAACATAGGGAACACAGTGACTGAGATCAAGAGCAACATGACATGTAGAAATTGAGTTTTTCTGTTACGTCCAGCTGTTCATGGTACGTTTTCCGAGTTTATTTGTTTTGCGTTTGTTTACATCATAGTCTCCTCAATTGTACACAGCCCACAATATATTGGTCATTATTTTGAACTATTAATCAGATTTTAATATAGGCAAAGCAGACAGGACTGTCAAGGTGGTCGGCCCTTTACGTTGACCGAGTTAACACCATCTCATGACTGATCTCAACATAGTACCATGGAGCACAGTAGGTTTCCACAATGTTATTAAAAGGAAAATGATTCTTACATATTTGGAAAAAAAAAAAAAAAAAAGGACATTGCTTTCTTTAAGGAACCCATTTCAATGACGACAGGTCCATTAAATTGAATAGAGACTAGGAGGGTCAAGTTTATTACATTACCTGTTCTAGTAGGAAAAGAGGAGTGATCATATTGATTTAAAAAAAACATAGATTTAAAGCACTGAAACATTATGCTCATCAACAACTTACATGGGTAGTACTGAATGATGTTATGGAGGATAGCAGATTGTGTATTTCAAACAGATATGACACAACTTGAATTTTTCATTGAAGACTTTATGAGTCTAATGAGACCTCAGTCTAGACAGGGACGTATAGCTGCATAAATCCTCCTGGCCTGGACAAATGAAAGACATCTCTTGCATTTCAATATTGGCAGTGGAATTACGATTAGTACATAAATGAATTACATTTTATCTTCAGAAAAAGCATTGTACTAACGGAGAATTATAATATGTGCCACATATTGACACTTTTCGGTCTGGTAACCAGCTTCCTAATCTGAGACTCTTGATACTGTGCTGTCCCTGAGTTAGTCCTGTTAAGTTACTGCACTGCCCGTAATGCTGTTGATGACAGCACATTTTTCCACTCACATTTATTATTATTACCTATTGATAACTGACATTAGGGCGGACCTTTGATATATCACTCAGTCATCAGTTTCTGAGAAGCAAGGCCACAAGTATCAGTAAGAACCCCTGCTTGAATTCAGTCAAACATTTACACTGATGACATAATCCTGTTCTATTGTTACAGTTTAATACCCAAGACCATTAGAAGTGTGGTGAAGATGTAGCAGGGTTAGGCACAGGCACAAATGTTTCCCACTTTTTAAACGTCTGATAGGGCACAATTTACTAATAATGTGCTTTTTGACACAAACACTGATGACCTAGAGAGGTTTGCATGGCCCACTTCAGCTCCATTAATGCTCCACCTCTTTGCCGATTGAGCGGACGTACATGAGTCAGCCCATGTGCTAAAATCAGAAGAGCTTTAGAGACAACAGCAGAGGGTCAAAACAGGGACAGAGCAGAGGCACAGAAAAAGCAGAGGGTGCCTAATACAGCTGGATGTGACAGAGGTGAGCGAATAGGGCTTAAGCCTCAAATATTATAGGCAATCCTTTACTATCCAGTGGAAACCCAAGTCACATCTGCATAAGAACCAGTCTCTTCTGAATAGACTGGTAGAAACAAGGCACTGGGATCTTTCTGCGTGGAGTTTGCATGTTCTCCCCGTGTTCTCCGGCTTCCTCCCACAAGTCCAAAAACATGTTGAGGTTAATTGGTGATTCTAAATTGTCTGTAGGTGTGAATGTGAGTGTGCTTGGTTGTCTGTCTCTAACTGTAGCCCTGCGATACACTGGCGACCTCAACATGGTTTTCGACTGTGGGAGGAAGCCGGAGAACCCAGAGAGAAACCGCTCTGCACGGGGAGAACATGCAAACTCCACGCAGAAAGATCCCGGTGTCCCCCGTGTTGCAAGGCAACTGTGCTACCAACTGCGCCACCTTGCAGCCCTCGTTTGGTCAAAATGAGTTGGAAAATATCAACATCAGCAAAAAAATCCCATATAATGCTTCCCTAATTCTTATTGTTTCTATTATCCTATTACATATACCATCCTAAATCAATGAGGTGCATCTAATGTCATTAAGAATACTAACAATAATTAAGTGTGTACGAAGGTTTTTCCACGTTATTAACAATTTAAAAATGCCTATATCTCCTTCTTTTCCATACTTGAAAATTCAAGAATCTATGAATGTTTATTTTTACTTCCAGAAGTGTAAATACGAGCCAGAATAGGTCTAGTTCACTGTAAAAGTCCATTTTCAGTGGATGTGCACTGGAGGCCTCAGGTATCCACATCACAATTCTAAGCTGGTAGTGTGATGTGGACACTTGAACAATGATTGGCTTCAAAATGCACAGATAGACATATGAGTGGAATGGGACATAAACCCTTTGTCTTATCTTGCAAACAAACACTTCCTCACAAACATTAAAGAATGCATTTCATGCACCATTAATGGCATAAAGTGCCTTCCATAAGTATTGTTGCTGCATGCTTAATGAGTATCATATAAGCATGTTACCTCTACTTAGCTTTGTGGTCCTTGTTTTGTATACATTATGCACATCAGTCACAACATTAAAGCCAGAACCAAACTGCAAAAACTACTCAGAACAGGTGAAGGAACTCAGCAAAGGCTCAAAGCTTAACCCAGCCTCTAAACTCCCCACATGACAATCTGACTGAGCATTGATGAGATGCACTGGAACGAGCCAAACCCACGGAGACCCCACCTCGGAACCCACAAGATCAAAAGATCCACTGCCAGGTCGGACACCACAGGAAACCCCCAGGAGTCTTGTATTTAAGTAAACTGTCAAACGCTGGAAGCTGCTTGCAAATTTGATGAATAAGTAAGCATGTTTTTGCTAATAAAGGCAAGGTCTGTAAGGATAATAAAAAAAAAACACATAGGCCATCTACAAATCTGAAAGACATTGCTACAAACCTACAAAACCTGTAACCAAGTTAAATGATGAAATTCTTACTTGCTGATTTCAGTAATCCAGCGAGTTGGGGGACATCCAGAAGTCCTCAGCTGAGCGAAAACAAAATAAACATATGATTTAATTTAAATTCTCATGTCATTTCTTTTGTATTTCACGGTGGCCATCAGTCATCATGCTGAATAGAAGTTACATCTGCAGTGGATGTTAAACCACCTTCAAACTTCTCCGATTACAGCGAGGACTGATTTGCATTCACGTAAACAAGGGTTTGATTTGCCCCTTTTGCTCCTGCAACAACCTAACATATGCAATAAAGACACTATGTGAAATGAAATAATTAACATTAAAAAAAAAAACTTGTTTACATGGATGCTGTCTGTTGTGTTTGTTACGATTCTGGTCCTTTTCTGAAAAATCTGGTTCCGACTGGATTTGGCTGGCTCACGCGCAAGAGGGAACTGATAAGTAGGCTAATGGTTCGAATATGAACCAACTTATCATAACAGAACGTGTTACATCTCATCAAACGCTTTCCAGCCGTGAACGCTGCAAGCTGCAGCGTGTCCCGTTGATGATGGTCCTGCAGCACACACACAACCACTGACGTGCGAGTGTCAATGCGACACAACAGTCACATTCAAGCTGCTCATGCTGCAGGACCGGTCGTTCAGGAGCTGCGTGTATTTGATTAAGATAAGAAGAAATCTTACCGATGATCAGGTGACAGCAGCAGGATCTGCGCGCAAAGGTTTCGCAAGCACCGTTGGGCAGATGTGAGCACGGAGTCTGAGGCAAGTCTGAGCAGGAGGCCTGCTCTGTACATGGGGAGGGGCGTATCGGTGTCGCCGAGTCCATTAGGGGAGTCGCTATTGGCTGTTCGAGAAGTCGGTGGACGTCTCTGCATGACGTCATCACCTCATTTGTATAACCAGCAATTTGCATGTAAAGGAGGCTGCAGGAGAGAGGAATAAAAAAAAAACAAACACCCCAAGTATGTTTAGAACTAAAAATGAACTTTCTTCTGTTGAGTCTTATTTTTGTTTATTTAGATTTTGCCACTGAAATAGGCCATTACTTCTCAAAATAGGTGCATGACTAATGCTTTGTCTAGACCCACATTAAATAAATCAGTTTAGTCCTGCATTGCTAAATGTTAGAATATCAAATTTAATCTAAAGACTGTTATGTGGGGTGGAATTGCTAGCTCCACGTCCAACCCTCCTCCTTTCTCTGGGCTTGGGACCAGCAAAGTGACCCAAAGAGACACTGTGGCAGAGTTACTTCAGTTTTTTTTGTTTTGTTTTGTTTTTCAGTTTTCTTAAATTTGGTTTAGTTTCTAACCTTATGCTCTACTTAAGGAGCCTATAACAAGTCACAGTAGAACACAAACATTTTTTTTTGCCACAATGAGAACATTTTTTAATATTACTATTATTATAAAAACTTTTTTAAAAATTCAAAAGGACCAAAAAAATACCATTTAAAAAAACGGTCGATGGCAATGTGAGGAAATGAGTCTGGCCCTAATTCAAGTTCATTGTTTGTTTTGTCAGACCGCCCTCCACACATACATTCTATGCTGGCTCAAAGAAAGAGGAGGTCATCTTAACTTTGGTCAAGGCTTTCTATGGCAGGCTCAGCAACAGAGGGAGCTGAATGAAACGAGTAAGTAGCTGATGTGCCAGAAGGCTGCAAAATATTATCAGGCAGCTTGTGCTCATAGCGAGCCTCACCACAAAACTTCAGACCATATTGGACACACAGAATGGAGTTAAGGGTCTACATTTGATTTCTAAGGTTGCTTTTTACCACAATCATCTGGCTGAATAATCTCTTGACTTCAGCATTCAAGTGTGGCAAGGACAACACAGACACAGCAGCCATGGCAAGTTCCTGAACTTCCAAATTCCACTCCAGAAGCCCACTGTGTTTTTTGTTTCACTCCACTTACTAAGATGGATGACATGCCATTGCTGGACAATCTTGTCCAATAGCCAAGGAGCTTGGCTATTATTTCTATTTCTTCCAGGCTCTTTTTGTGCTTTAGAGTTTGGGACACAAACCAGGGATCTTCTAGCTGTGAGGCGACAGTGCTAACCAACCAGCTCAACATTCAGGCAAGCTTTTTATTCAAGACAAACCTTGGTAACTTAATCATACCACAGAAAAGCCCTGTTGAAGAAGAAGAAAGGACCAGAAACACACAACAAACCCCCACTACAAACAAATGTGTGTTAGTGTGGAGAGCCTCATTGGTAATATTGATTACTTTCAAGGTTCTCCTACATATGTACAATGTTTAACCACTGTGGCCCAATCTACCTTCAGGACCTCCTCACCCCTCAGTCTTCATTTCAGTCACTCAGGTCTAGCAGCCAGAACTCCCTAGCCATTCCTTGCACGAAGCTCACAACCATGCGACCGTGCCTTTTCTGTACTGGAACCACGCCTGAGGCCTCTGAATCCCTTGCTGCCTTCAAAAGCAGCCTAAAGACTCATTTATTCTGCTTTGCTTTAAATAGGGTTCTGTTGGAGTATTTTTATGTATATTTTAATTATTTTAAGTTTTCAGATTTAAAATTAAATTTTCATTTTATTACTCTTCTTCCTGTGAAGCACCTTGAGACGACGCCTGATTTTAAAGTGTGCTATACAAATAAAATGTATTATAAAAATAATAATGCTATTTGTTGGTGTAATCGGTTGAAAATAAAGACAAAAGTTGTTTATAGAAACAATCACCCCCCAAATTTTGAATTACATAAGTAATTCTGAGTTGATTGCATTTTTGCGCCAGTAGGTGGGGCCCTTGTGTTGTTGTGGATCCATCTGGGAGACTGAAACTACTGGCACAGGGCATGCACACTTCAGTGATAAAGACATGCTGATCTGGGCGAGATGCTAACTTTGTTCTGGGTGTCATCCTTCACAGTACATTATCCTTCCAATCCCACAGCAACAACATCACCAGGTCTGCTTCCACCTACGTAACATCAATCACCTCCGCCTCTCCCTTTCCCCCCCACACTGCTGCCATCCTTGTCCACAGGGTCGTCACTTACCGTCTGGATTACTGTAATTCTCTCCTCTTTGGTCTCCCTCCACAAACTTCAACTGGACCACAACCGAACCCCCTCGATTCACCACATCACTCCTGTCCTCCAACAGCTCCACTGGCTTCCAGTTCAGTTCCGCATCCAATTCAAAATCCTCCTGTTAACATTTAAGGCCATTCACAACCTCACGCCCCCATATCTCTCTGACCTCCTCCATGTTCACACTCCCTCCTGCTCCCCCAGATCCTCCTCCTCCATACATCTCTCTCTCCCCTCCGCCCGTCTCACTACCATACCAACTCAGAAACATCGATTCACTCTCCCAATTCAAATCACAACTTAAAATCTCATCTGTTGAGGACTGCCTACTTGACCTGAAGCCTTTTGTTCTGTCTGCTTAATTTAGCAACTTTACTTATTTTAATGTTGTTTCTTTTAATTGATTTGTGTAATGTATGAACAGTGTCCTTGAGTGCCGAGAAAGACGCCTCTAAATAAAACGTGTTATTATTATTATTTGGTCTTCTCTTTGTTGATCACAGTCCACAGTTGGTTACACAGGGCTTTCTGCACCGTGTGCTATTTGCCATGGGTCCAGATTTCCCCTTGGTCTGGTGCTGATTGCAGTGGCCCTTCAAAACACTCAAGACCACCTAACAGCAAGAACAATACCTCAGTAATGAACCCGTTTACAGCCATGAGGACACTTTGATCCTTTTCATTGCTCTTTTTAGATATGTTTGAGCTGCATTAATGCACTTGGAATAAAACTTGGTAAAGGTGTCTATTTTGGGAGGAATTCACTAATTTTAACCTCAGCTCCCATAATGCATTAGAAATTGGACTAATCTTCGACACCAACCTCACTTTTGAACAGCACATCAAACAGATCACAAAAACAGCCTGTCTCCGACCATCTCTCTCCCTCCCTGCAGCTGAAACACTCATCCATGCTTTCATCACTCCCGACTGGACTACTGCAATAGCCTCCTCTATGGTTTACTCTCCAAACTCCTCAAAAAACTTAAGCTTATTCAAAACTCTGCCGCCCGTCTCCTTACCCACACCCGCTCTCGTGATCACACCACCCCCGTCCTCCAAAATCTCCGCTGGCTCCCTGTCAAAGAATGCATCACATTCAAGATCCTCCTCCTCACCCACAAAGCCCTCCATCATCTGGCCCCCCATCATCACACCCCTTCCCACAGCCTCCGTTCCTCCTCTGCTCACCTCCTCGCCCCACCACCAAGGACCAAACACCCAACCTGGGGGGACAGAGCCTTTTCTGTTGCTGCTCCCACTCTCTGGAACTCCCTTCCGTCTCCCATCCGACACTGCTCTGACCTCAACATATTCAAGTCCCTTTTAAAAACTCACCTTTTTAAGATCGCTTTTAATGTTTAACTGTTTTACATTTTTATTTTTTACCTGCCTTCTCTACCTTGTTTTTAAAAAAAAAAAATCAGTTTTGTATTCAACTTGTTTTGTTCTTGTTTTTATCTTATCCCCTGTTAAGTGACTATGAGTATCGTGAAAAGCGCTATACAAAATAAATGTATTATTATAATGATTTAGAAATACACTGTATACACAGAAAAGTTACACCCAGGACTTTAAAGACAAAAATATCCCCCAATAAAATCCATTACAACAACTAATCGTATTCTCACAGTCTCTGACCATCAGAGGAGGGAGTTATTGCTGAGGAGGTGTTGGGTTTCAGTCGACCATCAGCATGAAGACAACAGTGTGTAAAGCACATTTAGTGCTTTGTTCAGTCAGAAAAATAATTATTAAATATTAACAGGGAATGCTTCAAATAGCATGCATCTCTAACTACAAACACATTGATGAACACAGTATAAAATAAAAATGTATTCAATCTTGTTTTAAATAAGCTTTAATGTACAAACATGTACTGTACAGACATTCGGCTCTGGTTAACTTTAAGTTAACAAAGTCAGAGAACTTCCATCAACTTAAAATGGCTTCATCTACAATTAGTCAGGTAAGAACGCATAAATCAAGTTTCAAAATAAATTATGCTAGATTTATACAGTGAATCAATGGCTTGTTTTAGGCTCGTAAGAGTTATCAGCTTCATATTTACAAACTAAAGCTGATGGATCACACTCTATGCTCAGTCCTGGAAGGGTACTCAGAGTGCTCAGCTGGTCTACCAAGTCAAGATGAAAGTGGTTCAGAATCAGACCGGGCTTGCTCAAAAGAAAGTGGAGTCGCAGTCACCTTCCAAAGCTCCTGCAGAAATGAATAATAGTTATTTAACAAAACGTTCTCACCCTTCTTCAGTGAATTTCTCCCCTACTTCTGATCCATTACAGGAAAGACAGGCACAGCACAACAACTTGAAGATGAACATATTCTCTCGCATGCAAGCACTTGAAATTCCAAACTCGGTCATTAATGCAGCCTACATGGCTGGCCTGAAGGTGAAAATGTATTGGCACAGTTTGTGGTTTAAGTCTGACTTCCTCCTTGATGTACCTCTGTGATATCTCACCTAGACGAAATACTGGAGCAGAGGCAGAGGACACCCTGGACAGGTCACCAGTCTATCACAGGGTTTCAGGGCTACATTTAGAAACAGACAATCAAACACACTCACATTCACACCTACAGACAATTTAAATCACCAATTAACCTCAGCTTTTGGACTGTGGAAGGAAGCTGGAGAGAATCCATACTGCACAGGGAGAATATGCAAACTCCCGGAAGATCCCGGACGTCCTAACCCAGATGCGAACCGGGGATCTTCTAGCTGTGAGGCGATGGTGCTAACGACCAGCCACCTTGCAACCCCAAATAATTTTAATGTTGTGAAAAAGTGTATATGTCAAGAAGAAGACGAGAAACATCAGACCCAAAAGTACAGACGAGCTGAAGGCGGCTATAAAAGCATTCTGGCCTTCAATAACATTGACGTAGTACTTTGAGGTAAGGAAGCCCCAATCAAGTATTGAGAGTTTAATAAATTTTTTTTTTCACAAGTTGAACATTTGTGTTGTAAATCCTTTAATGATTAATCTTAGGAAGTATTCTAATAATTTGAGATACCAGATTTCTGATTTTCACGGGCTACAAGTTATTTCATCAAAATTAAAACAAACGAAGGCTTGAAATATTTTACTTTAAGTGCAATGACTGTAAAATATATGAAAGTGTACCTATTTGAATTCCATTTTTCACAATGTGCTTTTATTCATCCTGGAATATTAGGTTCAAAATAATTCAGAGAGGAAGATTTGAGAAGTTGATCAGTTTAATAACCATTATTGTAACTGTTCTGTTGTAAATTTGCATAATCTTTTGAAAAAAAAAATATCATAGAGTATAAAATTGTAGAGACAGATTCCTCATTTAACTTTGACCCTATTCTGAATATCCAGCAACCACGCTTGATTTTACATAAAAACAAACAGAAAATATATTTTGGTTTTGCCAACAGCAACAGCATCATCTATGTATTCCTTTAACAAATGCCAAATAAATGTGTTTTTTTGCTGAATAAACGTAATAAATGTGATAAACAGAATGTGTGCACCTTACAAAAGATTTTTGATACAGTCAACAGGTCATAACAGTATCTTACTGGTAAATGTAAAATAAGATAGGCCTTTATTAATCCCACAGTGGGGAAATTTGCAATTTGTTCCAGCAGCAAAGATAGTGCAAAATACAGAAATACAAAAAATAATACAAAAATATATATTTAAAAAAATAAATAATTCAAAATAAGCAAGGATGTACATAAGCACTAATTATAGAAATAACATTATTGCACATGCCAGTGGTATTGCACAGATTCTTTCATGAATGAAAATATTGACATAAGTAATAATATTGCACAGACTATTAAATATATTTCACAGATATGTAAGTAGAAAAAATCCTATGTGAAGTATTTTCTAGTATATGTATAAAAAATAAATAATATTGAGCAGGGTACTTTAAAAGTCCAGAATATTCATTATTCAAAATGTGTCTGTATTGTACTGAGAGAAGTAAGACAGATTACCAGTGTGTGGTCCACTGGGAGCAGTGATGATTGTAAAGTAACTGTAAACTACATTGTATAATTCATCCCACTCTCACCCAACCGGTCGAGGCAGATGGCCGTCCCTCCCTGAGCCTGGTTCTGTCGGAGGTTCTTTTTCCCCTGTGGGGGTTTTCAGTTCCTTCCCACTGTTGTGGACTGCTTGCGGACTGCTGAAGCTTATAGGGAATCCAGATGTTTTGGATTGTTGGGTGTTTCTGTTTCTGCCTTTGTGAAGCGCTATGAGATGACTGTTGTTGTAAATATGCGCTATACAAATAAAATTGAATTGAATTGAATTGAAAGTCTAACAGCAGCAGGAAGGAAGGACCTGCAGTATGTCTTCGTCACACACACAGTGAGTACAGCAGGCTGTCACTGAAGGAGCTGCCCAGTGATGCTTGTGATGTTTGATGTGTTACGATATATCACCTTAAATTCTTTCCAAAGTGATGTAACGCCATGAAGAAGTACTACACAGCTTTATCATTAATCATATTGTGTTCTGAGGAGCCTTATTCGTGTGACATACCATAAACACGTTATGGTACATTAGTGGAGGGAATGTTGCAAGTACATTAATGTAAAACATGTTACAGCATGTTACCATTATGTGCTTCAAGAGTATCACACAACAAAAGCAAGTGCAGTGTTGTCTTTTGTGCAGTAAAACATACTTACGATAAGTCACTATGAATAAGGTGTCACAGTATGATGCTAGCAACAGGGTGTTGCCTTAAAGTGACTATGACAAGCGTACAGTGTAGGAGCTGGATTCAGGTTTTAGATTAAAATCAGGTTAGACTTTAAGCTTTGTTCAAACTTAAGCAATAAATACAGTCCACATTAGGATACAATGAGCGTTTCTCTTACCAGGTGCTCTATGCGTTCGTACAGAAGAAATTGTGCAAAGTTCGAAGGGAGCTGTTCCACCTTGAAGTGGCATCGCCCATCAGCCAGGTCTTTGAGTTGGGACAGACAGCATCTGAAATGATGGTAGGCCTCGCAAGAAACATCCATGTGTCGCAGGGTGAAGTTCATCCTTTCAAGACATTAAGGCACAGCAAGAAACATGATTATTGCTTGAACTAAGAGCTGAAAATGCAACACAAACGACAACCCAACTAAAAACAGAACAAAGAGTTTGCCTGACACACATCAATAAACTGGACAGCGTATGACAATGGAATTTGTAAAGATCAAGGACAATAGCCTCACAAATATTGAAACTTTGTCAGCTTTACACTGCAGGGTACTCAAAAGAAGAAAGTTTAGAATAAAATAGAATAGAATAAAAAGCCTTTATTGTCATCATACAAAACAAGATTATGAGTGCCATTCCTACTTGGTGCATTAAAGTGCATTAAGCACACCATAAAACCGTTGCACACAATATAAACGAGGTAGCAAGAAGGTAAAGTGCCAAAGTCAAGACAGTGCCAGTCAACAGTTACAGTACAGTAATAGTTATTACAAAAGCCTCTGTGGTTATTTACATGTGAAGTGTAATCTAATATAAAACATAATAAATATATATATATAAAATAATATAATATCAGTGTGAGTGTTGTGAGAGTGTGTGAGAAGGGACTACAACCCTTGACTTTTTATGTTTTGTTTTTTGGGGTTTTTTTGGCCTTTTTGCCTTTATTATATAGGACAGTGAAGAGAGAGACAGGAAAGTGGGGGAGGAGAATGAGCGGGATTCAAACCCTTGGCCGCTGCATCGGGGACCATAGCCCCTGTACATGGGTCGCCAGCTCAACCAGGTGAGCTAAAGCGGCGGCCCTTGACGTTTTATGTTGATTAAGAGCAGTAATTACCTTAAAATGTCACTTAAATATCAAATGATTCAAAAACTGTATCACCTCTCAATAACTGCATTACTTCTAAGTTAAACAGTAGATTAGTGAGAAAAAAACAAACAAAAAAAACCAGTTTCGATCTACTATATTAAAAAGACAGACCCCAAACCTGTATATTGAAATCAATGTGGCCCTGGGATACTTATTATGTTGCAGTTACTGCTGGCTGTCCTCACAGAGTAGATTCCCAATATGGTGAGAGACCGCAAATTTAAATGTTAAATGACATTTCACAAGCTCACCAAACATAACATCAATATTCTGCAAAAACATGGCATCCCAGAATATGCTTAAAGGCATGTTGATGGCATTACAGGAGCTCCTCAAGTAAAGCCTTTCCGGTCAGAATAACAGTTATTTGCTTTTGCTAAAAATCTTTTTGCTTTACCTTTTCTCTATGGAGAAGAAAATTGTGCAGGGGTGAAGAAAGTTGCTGCAGAGTTGGTACAGTGTTCGGAAAAGGCCATCCGTCAGATCATCATCATAGCAAACTGGTGACACACAAAACAAGTATTATGCGCCTCAGTATGTGGCTCTGCATTGCATGATTCTGCGATTTACACTGAAACTCCAAGGGCAAAAGTTAAAACAGAAATATGCAATCGCTTTCTGTCTGGTTACAACCATGTACTGACTATTCACTAGATTATGTTACTTTTAATTGATAATCTGAATGGTTCGTATGTCTTTTTTCTCTTTGACAGTTCTTTTTCCTCTCCGGCCCTATGACTGCTCATTTCTAATCTGCGTTTATTGGACTAACAAACTTGTTCAGTGTTTACTGTTGTTGCTCTATCCACACTGTTGTTATTATAATCATTACTATAAAAACTGTAACATCTATATTATTGTAACAATATTAATAAAACACCTATAGCAACCAGTCTGACAGACCTCACTTTACAACAGCCTCTATTATTTAATTGCATTAAAGACATAAAGTTTGGGTTTGAAATTGAGGCACTTGTTTATTTATTTTTTTTTTGTTGGTTATGGGTGGTGTTATTGTAATTAAGTTTGGCTAATGAGTTTAATTGTTGTTTTTTTTTTGTAGATAGTTTCCTTAACTCTGTTAGCCTTCGTTTGGTTTTATTTGGTTCTTTGATTTAGCAGCACCCATTAGTCCACTTTGTTTGTATTATCACAGTTTTTTCGTGTTCATTACATTACTGAGCAATACATTGCTTTACTTCCAACAACTGGTTTTTTGTTACATCCAGCTGACCCTAGAGGCTGGAATGTAACATGCTGACTCTGTTTAAGCTCAATGGCCTTTTGAACAAAGCGTGGTATACTGGAGAAGAGGTGTGCTGGTGTATCCATCAGCCTTAAAGCTTACCATCAGCAGCAATGATGAAGCTAGTGTTGTTATGTAGATCAGCTACTTCATCCTCTGTCCAACTAAACTCCATATCAGCATCTGCAAAGATGAAACATATGGAAAGACAGGCATTTTTTATGGTCAGAAGGTGGTTAGTTCCTAATACAGCACAAAAAAATGAATAAAATACATTCAACCCAGAACTGTTGTGGATAATGTGCTTATATTGCTCTTTTCTACCTTAGTGATACTCAAAGTACTCTCCAATGTTTCCTATTCACTCATTCACACACACACATTCATACACCAATAGTGGCAGAGCTGCAATGCAAAAGAGTAACTTCTGTGTCAGGCCAGTGATCGAACCCCCAACTTTCTCTCCTCTGAGTCACAGTTGTTTGCTGGACTAGTTCTCTCACACAGATCTCTTAGAATTTACTTCAACAACTGCTTCATCTAATAATATAATAAAACATCTTCACACATACAACAAATCTCTGGGACTGCCTTCTCTCTGCACACAAAACCATATATAACCAAGCTCCATCATAGTTCAAAAATCTCCTAGTATTACACCATTATACCATGCCTTTGTGCATTTTGTGTTTGTAGTGTTCTGAAACTGATAAGGAGCATGAAGACATAAAAATGTTTTTTTGGGAAGAATTTTAAAATTTGCCACACAAGTAGATGATACTTCCATCTTTTACAGTCCTAAATTTCATCAGCCTACCCATGATTCAAGCTGTCCATGTGGCTGTTTGGAAATTAACTACTTTTTTACCTGTGTCAACTTTGACTGGCCATAGCTCCCATTTCCATGACATGTCATTCAGAAATTATTGTCACACTAAAATTGATCAAATAGATTCTATGTATTGAAAATATATTTTTCCAGATTTCTTGAAAATACACTTGAGTTGCAATTTTTGTACAAGTCCTGAATTGAAGAGTTCTTCAGCAAAAAGTTTTCAGTTTAGTCTTGATTGTCAGAATTTGCTGCATTCTTTCAAGTCACCAGAATCATCTGAACATCTCCAGAAAATCTGAAGACTCTAGGACATACACTTCAAGAGATATGGACATCTGAAAGTGGCATCGCCTTCGATTGAATGTAAAAGTTTTATTGAAAATTTCTGTCGGGTAAAAAATTCTGAAAATGTTGGAATTTCAGCAGGCTGCAAGTTGGATTAGTCGTTAGCACCGTTGCCTCGCAGCTAGAAGGTGGCCGATTTGTGTCCCGGTGATCTTTCTGCGTGGAGTTTACATGTTCTCCCCGTGCAGCATGGGTTCTCTCCGGGTTCTCCGGCTTCCTCCCACAGTCCAAAAACATGTTGAGATTAACTGGTGATTCTAAATTGTTCGTAGGTAGTGAGGATTAAGCGGTGTATAGATAATGAATGTATGGAGGTTGGGTGTGTTTGCTACCTGTACAAAGGTCATGCTGAAGCCAGTCCAGATGTCTCACTCTCACCTCCCCACCTGGTCATCAGGAAACATAGTATTACATCTGTGTTAGACTTTTAGCAGCTTAGCATTTGTTTTATAAATCAATAAACTACATTTTATAAACGAGCATTTAAATAAAACAAATAAATAACCAATCAATTGATTATGATGCAATTAAATGCATTACTTAAGTTAGGTACAATAATCTTTAGTAACTTGCAGGCTTAGTACAACAAAAACTGTTAGGCTTAACATCTGTTCAATATTTCCATTACTTCAACATTTATGCTTGTGTTGTACCCACATCATAACATCTCAGGAACTGTGGTCATGTTAGCATTACAATTGCTAACTCAGAGTTTGTTGTTATTTCCCACAGTGAGAGGGGTATTAAAAACGGTAACACACAGATCACAGAAGCGGAAGAGAAAGCCGTGTAAAATATGTGGCCACTGGCAGGCTTAAACCTAGTTTATGCTTGATGCATCCGCGAGGTCAGCACGGCTGCATGCAAACAAATAATGTCATTTAGGAGCCACGCCCCCTCACACAGCCCTTTTCAAGCGGAAAATTTCCGCATCGTGCACCTCCGAAAATTCCTAACAATGCAGATGGAGACGCACAGAAATAACAACTTAAATAACAACTTTGACAAACCAGGAGCAGATCAAAGCACACATTAGGTTAGTAGCAGGGTACAGGGTGCATGTGTTCAACAAGCCATTTTGATTGGTCCCTCATAGTGAATGGGGAGGTGATTTAAATTGAACTTCCACATAGATAAGTGTCCATCA